TTATTTCTTTCTGTTTTTTAATTTATTTCCTTTAGTTTCCTGCTAAATCCAATGAAGCTAATGAAAGTATCGTGAATGCTACAGCACGTTCCCGAAATAAGCGTCTTGCTCTTCATCCCTCTCAGTGGGCGTTGCAGTAAGCTTTTTTCTGTTTTTTTCTCATACATGTTGTTTAATTCCTTACATTTAGTTCTTTTAAAAATTTCTTATTCAGCCTCTGGCCGGGAGGAGTAGTCCCATATGATATTGCTTCACATTATACTGAGTGGGAACGAAGCGTCATCCTATCTGGGATGGCTGAATTTCCCAAACATACTTGCATAACATTCCGACCTCGAACACCAAGTGATCAATATTACTTGGCAATTAACAAGTACTATGACTTAGAAAGGTAAATATGGTATGAGCATAATGCTCTACAAAGACACTTTCACAAGTTTTCTTCGTCTAGATGTTTCTCTTATATTGGCCGTCAGACGGCATCGATGTTCCAAACAGCTGATGGAAAGACTGAAACACGAATGAAACTCGATCCGAGTTGTCTTCGTTTCAACGGTCGAGGTACAGTCATGCACGAATTAATGCATATTCTCGGCTTCTATCATGAACATCAAAGGTGTGTAAGAAAGAGTCTGTAATGTTTCCTTTCTGATTTTACGAAATGAGAAGAGAATGCCCTTTGTAGAGACGATCGTGATCCGCGAGTAACCGGAAGCGCTACACATTACAATTACAAAGTCTATCCAAGGGGTAGCACGTACTACATGGGTGCATATGATCCGCAATCGATTATGCACTACAACTTCCCAGGGATCGTCTATCCAAGGACATACTTCAGCCCGAGCGACATTCTTCGCATTAACACCTTATATAGGTGCTCGCAGGTGAAGGCTACTTTCAAGAAGGCGTCGCTACAAGAGCGTCACTTCTCAAAAAGGAAGAGTCGTTTGTAGAATTGCTGCATCAGGCTTCTAGTAGTCCAATGTAGGTTGGTGCAGTTTGTGTTCTCTTGTTCTAGATGTACGTGTCTGTTTTATATGTTATATGTATTGTCGGTTCTGCGCAATTCAATGTTGCAATTTAGCTAGCTATCTGTGATCTATGTCCAAAAAAGTTTCGATCTCAATAAACGGTGGCAATATGAGCCCACCTGCAAAAAGCAAAGTATGACTGTAGTTTAACACATTTTATTTGTATTGATCTACTATTGTTAAAATTGCTTTTTTACGAGACTCAAATCAACCTCTATAGTCAAGATTGCACAAAAATCGGCCCAATTTTCAATAAGCTTATGTTGTTCATTTTCGCATGAGCAAAACAAATTCTACACTTATCAATTTATCAAAATATATATATATATATCAAAATTTTATCCTCAGCCAAATTTCATGAGGTTTCAAATTAGATTATTTTTGTGAAAGAATAAGCAAAGTTGAACAGACCACTCGCTATGCTGGAAAAAGGGCAACGACTGGGAATAAGCTTTTCCGTTGCTGTACAAAATTTATAATTTGAAGGAAGTTCAAACTTTCTCATTTTTGAAACAGTAAGAATAATGTATTACTTTTTCCACGAAAAGTTTCGCAAATTTTGCAGCTGTATCTGAAATTTATAGATTAGGCCAATTTCACCTAGTCTGCTCTTGTAAAATTTGATAAACATATCTTTTGAATCACTTTATGTTTAAATATATCTTTCAACTCTAGTAGATTTGCTTTCCTCTCGTACTATTTTACCAGAAACAAAATCTTAAGTCTCCTCAGTTTTTATCTATAGATGCTTCATTTCAGCCAGCTGCCACAAATGCCCAATCATTACAATGGACAACGAGTCCTACTA